TATCTGAAATTTTGTCCTCACATTGGTTCATTCTGCTGTGTAGACTTTCGATGGAGTTTTAATCTCCTGGAAATCTGTTTGTATCTGTTTTATGGATTCCATTTGTTCTCCATGTTGGGATTCCATCATGTTCCTCAACTCCTCTCTAGATTTATTAATCATATCTTGCACTATGGGCACAATCTCTGCTGTTATCTAAGAAATTATTTCTGATTTCATTTTTTCCAGATCCTCTTTTGTTGCCAGTTCAGAGAGTCCAGGTGCTTGAGTATCAGTGTTCCGTCTCATTTCCCTTTGGGTGTAGGTGATCTGGAAGTCTGGTTTTGAGGCTTATGTGTCTTTTCATTTCGACAGGGCAGGGGGTGGGGGCTGCTGCTGGGGCCCTAACGGCTCACCTCCTGTGTACTGGGAGTGGTGGCACAGAGACACGGAAGACTCCTCTTCTGGGCTGGGAGCCGTGGCACAGCGATGTGGAAGCTTCCTCCTCTGGGCTGGGGGTGGTGCTACCTGTTTATCAGTTTTAAAAGATTCCTTAAAGCATATCAGATGAAAACCAATTAGGATTAAAAGTTTCCATTTAATTTCCTTTAAACTAGTAAGGCTTCATTAAACTCCTTTCACTTACTAAACTTTTCTATCTTCTTTGTTTTTTTTAATTAATTTTATTGGTACATTTTAGGTATACAACATTCATCAATGGAAATTTGTACCATTACATAGTCTCTCTTGGTTCTTATTTTTTCCCCATTCCCTGTCCCTCCCTTCAACCCCTCCATCCCTCCCTATATACAAAGACATTGTTTCCATTTTTTCATTTTCACATATTAATTCCATTCCCTTCTTTCATTTCCCCTAGCCCTCCCACTTCCTTCCCCTTTTCCCCTTCTCTTCCTATTTTACATTATCTATTATACATTTTAGTCTCTTCTGTCTGCCAGAAAGTTCTCAAATCATTTAGTACAAATACTGAAATAGTTAATAAGCAGTTAATTGATTTGTAATGATGATGCCAGAGGAGTGGTCATCACTAGATGCTTTGTCTTTTTTGTATTCTAGTTGCACCCTTGGATTGGATGTAGCAATAACACTTTCTGGCTGTTGAGAGCTCTTGAACCTAGTTATTATCCCTAAGAACTAAAAAAACAAACAAACAAAAAACTGTTGGTCCTAAATTCAACTTAGTGAAATACGAAATTCTTGTTTGGTTTTATTTTTGCCCTCAATTGCCCAATATTAAGGATGTATAAATAAAGCATGCATAGCTACTGGCTTTTTATTTCTGGGTTTGCTGTTAAAAATGCTTTTTGCCCTCATACCCTTCTTAGTACTCCATATTTCTTTGCCTCTATTCTTCTGTACTGCAGATTTTTCCTCACCTATTGTACAAAGAAATTGTGATGTATATTTTCATATAATTCAGTTTTGGAATTCTGTCACCTTATGTAGTGAGTTCTTCCAAAATACAATTTTTTTCCACAAAAAAAAATAGTCTTCAAGTTGCTTCAGCAGCAAAGCAAATTGTTATCATCCATCTTTCTTCTCTCCACAGTCTGGGGACTATGAACAAGTCAGGGATATCCACAGTGACTCACTTTGTCCTCTTGGGCTTTCCGGGACCCTGGAACATCCAGATCATCCTTTTCTCAATGATTTTGTTGGTCTACATGCTGACTCTGACTGGGAACATGGCTATCATCTGTGCAGTGAGATGGGACCGCCAACTCCACACTCCGATGTACATGCTCCTGGCCAACTTCTCCTTCCTAGAAATCTGGTATGTGACATGCACAGTCCCCAATATGTTGGCCAACTTTCTTTCCAAAACTAAGACCATATCCTTCTCTGGGTGCTTCATTCAATTCTACTTCTTCTTTTCCTTGGGCACAACAGAATGCTTCTGCCTCTCTGTCATGGCTTATGATCGATACCTGGCTATCTGCCACCCACTGCACTATCCCTCCATCATGACTGGCCAGCTCTGTGGTGTCTTGGTGTGTCTTTGTTGGCTCATTGGTTTCCTTGGACACTCAATTTCTATTTTCTTCATTTCTCAACTACCTTTCTGTGGTCCTAACATCATTGATCACTTTCTGTGCGATGTAGACCCACTGATGGCATTGTCTTGTGCTCCTGCACCCATCATAGAGAATGTATTCTATTCTGTGAGGTCTCTTATCATCATTATCACCATTCTGTATATCCTTGGATCCTATGCTCTGGTGCTCAGAGCTGTGCTTCAGGTTCCTTCCTCAGCTGGCCAAAGAAAGGCCTTCTCCACCTGTGGATCACACTTGGTTGTGGTGTTTCTGTTCTATGGATCCATAATGGTGATGTATGTGAGTCCCACATCTGGCAACTCAGTTACTATGTACAAGATCATCACATTGATTTATTCTGTGGTGACCCCAGCCTTAAACCCTTTAATCTACAGCCTACGCAACAAGGACATGAAATTTGCCCTCCGCCATCTTTTCTGTAGGATGGAAATTATCCAAACCTCATGAATAGGGTATATATAGCTCAATGACTCTCTCAAAGTGTAAGACTAATCATAGCCATCATAGTTCTGATATGCAAAGCAAAATTTATTATGTATTTGATCATATTTTGATGACCTAGTAGTTTTAGTAATATGTAAAGGGAAAGATGTATACATAACACCATGTTAAAAATAACTTTAAAATCTTCATGTAGGTGTATGTGTGTTCTTAATATTAGTGTTAGAAATTTTTTTATCATCGTAGTCTATTGATTGTAGGAAATATTTGATTTCAATGCAATAATTTTAATCATATGCATTCCTCCAATACCATGCTTTATGCTTTCTTCCCTTTTATTCCATTCCTCTTCTCTAATAAGTCTCCCTTCTACTTTGATATTCTTTCTTTCAGGTTTTAAATATTAGGGAGGACATGTGATATATGTTTTTCTAGGTCTGGCTCATTTCACTCAACATGGCAATGTCCAATTCCATCTATTTTCTTAAAAATGACAGTGTTCATCCTTATGGCTGAATAATATACCATAGTATATATACACCACACTTTATTTTTCCATTCATCTGTTGGTGGGCTTTGTTCTTATAAACCCTAAAGCAAGAAACATGGGTCCATTGGCATCCTATAGGATGATGAGTTTAATTCCATCAGGTACATGTGAAAGAGTGGTATAGTTGAATCCAACAGTGGCCCTATTTTTACTATTTTAGGGTAACCTCTATACTGATTTTCATAAGAGCTGTACTAATTTACATTGCCCAAGAAGTATAGAAAGGCTCCCATTTCCCCACACCCTCTCCAGAATTTGCTATTATTTGTATTTTTCATGATAGCCATCATGACTGGGGTGAGGTAGAATGCCAATGTAATTTTGATTTGCATTTCCCTAATGTCTAAAGATGCTGAACATTTTTATATACTTATTGGCCATTTGTAGTTCTTCTCTTCAGAAGTACCTATTCAATTCATTGGCTCATTTATTGATTGGGCTATTTACCTTTTGGTGATAAGGGTTATTTACTTCTTTATACATTATAGATATAATTTTATAGATACTAATCCTCTCTTAATAGAATAGGTGGTAAGGATTTCCTCCCATTTCTTAGACAGTATCTTCACTCTTTTAGTGGGTTTTTTTAGGAAATTTTTAATTTCAGGTTGTTCTAACTGTTGATTCTTGCTCTTTTCTCCTGTGCTATTGGACCTATTCAGGAAGTCTTTGTATGTTTTTAGGTTTTTGTCATGTGTGGGTTTTTTAGGAGTTTGAAAGTTTCAGGTCTATACAGAGATCTATTTTGAATTCATTTTTTGTACAGGGAAAGATAAAGGGATCTAGTTGCAATGTTCTATAACTGGATATCCAGTTTATCAACACCATTGTTATGGTTTGGGTCTAGATGTCCCTCCAAAGCCTCATGTGGTCATAGGTGAGGCTTTTTGAGCTGATTGGATCTAGAAAAGTAACTAAGGTAGAATTTGGTAGCAGAGAAGTGGGGTCATTGCTATGACTATACCTGACTATGTCATTCAAGAGCAATTGTGAATGGCTTGAGGAAAGATTTGGAGATGCTGGATGAAAAAGGAGAGCTGGAACACCTTAAGCTTTACTGTATGGGAGATTCTGGTCAGAGCTCAGAAGGCCATAAGGCTGATAGAAATACTGCTGATAAAAACTGGGCTCAGGAGGTCTCTGCTGGGAAGAAGAACTGCATTGGTTGTTGAACTTCAGACAATGTGTGTTATGTCTTAGTAGAAAGTTTGTCTGCATTTTACTCATGTCCAGAGACTTTGCCTGAGACTAAGATTAAGGGTGGCAGACTAATTAATCTTGCAGAACAAATTTCAAGGCAATCCAATGTTGAGGCAGAGGCATGACTACTCTTGGGGACTTTTAGCCAGACTTACGTTGCGAATCAAGAGCAAAGAGCCCAGCAGAATGATTTAAAATGTTTTAAGTTTGGCCAGAAAGGAAGCTCCAATAAAGTTGGGGCCTCCCAAGATCGAGCAGAGATTTTGATTACTGAGAATGAACAGGAGAATAGACAAGATGGCCTGAGGGCATTGCAAGAGGCAGCAGGACTCCAGCCTTTGCAATCTCAAAATTGCAAAAGTGAAAGACCTTGCTTTGAGAAGAAAGCCCCAGAGTACCATGTTCCAGAATGGCAGAGGCCTAAAGACTGTTCCTCAAGATTGGGTACAGAGTGCTCAGGGATCCAGGTATCCCTGACATCTGTATCCAAGAGAGAAGAAAGCCTTGATACTGCTCCAGCTGGTAGCAGACCTTGGCATCATCCACATGGTGTGGGTTTTAGGTGCACACAGAATGCAAGAGTTATGGGGTCAGAAAGGCTTTCACCCAGATTTCAGAAGAAGGCCTGGGAGGCCAAGCAGTGTGCCCCTGAGAGGGTAGTATGTAAAGCTGTAAATGTGAAGCCAAAGGTGTAGTGGAGACCCCAGAACTTTGGAGAACCCAGGAACATGGATTGTGTGAGGAAAACTGCAAGGAGGGAGTACAGCCAGCTCCAGAGAGAAGCCATGGGAGCTACAACCATCTGCAGTGCCATAGAGGTGGAGCTATCTAAACCCTTTGGAGTTCACAACTTGCCACAGATTGTCAGGGATGCTGGAAGTGGAACTGTGGGATTTAATGTTTGCCCTATTGGATTTTGGTCTTGCTTTGTTCTCATTCTTTACTATCCCCTGTTTATAACCTTTGGAATGGAAATGTCTATCTCGTGTCATTGAATGTTAGGAGTGTTTAACTTGCATTGCATTTATACAGAGGCTTGTAGCTGAGAATTTGCCTTAAATCTCAGAGGAGACTTTGGACTTATATTTTCCAGCAATACTAAAATTGTTAGGACTTTGGCAACTCTTAGAGATGGACTAAATGCCTTTTGCATAAAGGAATGTACATGACTCTTTAGGGGACAGGGGTCGAATGTTATCTTTGGGTCTATATGTCCCCCCTCAAAGCCTCATGTAGTCATAGGAGGGGTTTTTTTGAGATGACAGGATCTAGAGTGTGTGATGCTAGAATTGATTCATGAGTCGATGCAATGCTAGGTTTAAGGGCACTAAGATTAAGGTTGTAAGTGCTATTCTCCCTAAGTAGTCTGGATAAGACAAAAGGGGCAGAAAGACATTGTTAAGGTCCCTTGTTTTTCTACTTCCTTTCAGCCACCATGAACTGCTGTCCTTCTGCCATGTGCCACCCTACCTTGGAGCCAGCCAATTATGGACTTAAACCATTACAAACTGTAAGCTAAATAAACCTTTCCTCTTTAAACTTTGGGAATTAGGTATTTTGTCTCACCAGTGAGAGAAAAGTAACTAAGACAACCATTTCTTAAAGAAGCTGTGTTTTCTCCAACATATATTTTTGCACTTTTGTCCATAATCATGAGTATAATTGCAAGCATCTATTTATGTATGCTGTCCTGTGATCCATTAATCTATGTGTCTATTTTTGTGCCCGTACTTTGCTGTTTTTGTTACTATTGCTTTGTAATATAATTTGCTGTCAAGTACTGTCTTAGTTACTTTTCTTGTTGCTGAGACAAAATGCCTGACACCAAAGTTAAAAGAAGAAAAGTTTATTGTGCCTCACAGTTTGTAGAGGTTTCAGCTCATAGTTGGCTGGCTCCAAGTCAGGGTGGCATAGCAGAGAGGGATCACAGAGAAGAAACAATTCATGGCATGACAGGCAGAAGTCAGCAAAACAACAAAGTAGTGAAGCAGGAGCAGCACCCTTCTTTCTGTCATACAGGCTACATGCCCTTTGGGCACACAACACTCACATCCAGGGTGGGGCACACTTAATACCAGCATTGCACGCTTAATCTCAGCATCACATTCTTAAACTCAGTATCATACACCTTGAATCCAGTCACCCCCTAAAAGCCCCACATCTGACTACATGAGGCTTTGAGAAGACATTTAGCTCCTGGCCACCAGAAGACTCATGTGCATCTCTTTATGCAAAAGGCATTTAATCCATCTCTAAGAATTGCCAAAATCCTAACAGTTTCAGCATTTCTGAAAAGTCCAAGTCAAACATCGCCACTGAGACTTAAAGCAAATTACTGGCTGTGAGCCCTTATATAAATAAAAAGAAAGTTAAATGCTTCCAACATACAATGGCACAAGATAAATATGACCATTTATTGGGAAAACACAATGAGCTCAAATAAACAACCTAATGTTGAACTTCAAATGTCTAGAAAAAGACTCAAAAACTCAAGCCCAGAGCTCATATCAGGGAGGAAATTATAATATCACAGCAGAAATTAATGTAATTGAGATGAAAAAACAATACAAAGAATCAATAAATCAAAGAGCTGGTTCTTGGAAAGACTAAATAAAATTAATAAACCCTTAGCCAACCTTATAAAAACAAGAAAGAAAAGACTCAAATTCATGCAATTAGAAATGAAAAGAGTGAAATCAAGGCCAATATTGTAGAAATCCAGAAGATCATCAATACCTTCTCCAAGAACCTATACTCTAACAAGATCAAAAACACAGAAGAAATGGACATATTTCTAGATACATATGAATTACCAAAGCTGAATCAAGAAGATACTAAAATTCTAAATAACCCCATATCAGTCAATGAAATTGAAAATGTAATTAAAAACTTACCAGCAAAGAAAATCCCAGGTCCTAATGGTTTCACTACTGAATTCTACAAGAAATTTAGAGAAAGTCTAATCCTACTACTCTTCAAACTCTTTAATGAAGTGGAAAGGGAAGCAATACTCCCAAAATCATTCCTGGAAGCAAATATTTCCCTGATGCCAAAACCAAAGAAAGACCCAACCCAACAAAAGAACTACAGGCCAATCTCCCTAAAGAACAAACATGCAAAAATCCTCAGTAGGATGCTGGCAAAGAGAATGAAGCAAATCATCAAGAAGATTATACACCATGACCAAGTAAGAATCATCCCAGGGATGCAAGGATGGTTCAACATACACAAATTAAGAAATGTAATACACCATATC